TGGTGTGAATTAAGCCCATTTATTACAAGGCAATTTGTCTTGTCTTGCATTCGGGCATTCGCTGGCTTTTATTTCAAGGCAGATAGTATGAACTGACTGACCCTCAATGATACCCCAAAATGTATCAACATTTAAAGTTTCATCCATGGAAAAATATTTTTATTTATGTATTTGTCTGCAGAACAGAAAGCATACTTCTATATGCTGTTAACATACCTAGGATTACCATAATAAAAGTTACATGGCTATTTTATAATTACATGCGGTCTGTTACCATTCTACAGGGAGTGGGTAATGAGAGCAAAGTGAAACCAGATACAAGAACTGTTGGCTGTTAGAAAACTTTAATAATTAATTAGTGGGCCTTTGTTGCACCCAAGGGTCAGGGTTCAGGGAAAAACATTGATTGAGCTAATACAAAGCTCAAGGAAACTTTGTTGTTACTTAGTTAAAGGAAGAGAATATGACATTGGCACTGCTACTTCATTTTTTAAACACAATAGGAAAGCACAAAACTATTTCCATAACCTTAGTGTTTTTTCTGTTATTAAATGCAATAGGTTACCTTTATGTTATTGTATTAAGAGGATTTATTATATTTTAAACTGAACAATACATTGTAAGAGATGAGTTACATTCCAGAACTGTAATGAAGGCCCACTTCAGATTTCATTACTAGTTTTAGTTACTAGGAAACAGTGACGGCAAGTCTGGCAGCACCGGTAAACCCTGGTTTATCATTGATCTACATTTCTTAGTGTCTGTATTGTCCTTTAGGATATTGCCATGTCCTAGGTGAAAAATTAATTGGTTTGTTATGTATATAAATTTTACACATTGCTCTACACATTACTAAGTGAAAGCCTTTGTCTTTGTCAGAGGTGCTTACTAAATGATCTAAAACAGGTGTGTAGAACATTAGTTTAAGGAGACACTTCAAGTACCTTAACTGTTAACAAAAATGTATCTTATTTGTGCATCAATGAGCTGTAGATCCTCAAATCATCTCTGAATTGGTGCGGATACTGTCCTTCCTTCTGGAGGGGGCTACTTTTGTTTCCCATGGCCCCCGTGTGTGTTGTAAAGTAGTAAATTAGTGTTGTAATGTAAACCCCTCCAAGCTCACTCCTGTGATGGACTACAATATCAGGTTTAGCGTATTAATTTGTATTGAGATTGTAGTCCATCACAGGAGTGAGCTTGGAGCAGCAGCTACTTTATAACACACACAGGGACCATGTGGAAGGACAGTGTCAGCACAAATTCAAAGATAATTTGAGGATCTACAGCTGAGTGATTCCCAAAGGCACATTTTTGTTAATAGTTAAGGTACTCTAATGCATTTTAAAGATTAAAGTGACATTAACCAATACTGTAATGTGTGCCTTACTGTAATCCATGGTTGTTTTCCTTCTCTTTGCTGCTCTTCCTTTTTGAATCCTCATGTCTTCTCATGCTTGGGGGGAACTTCCTTTGCAGCTTAGGGCCTCTTCCTGTAGTGCTGGCTCAGGTTACAAGCCTATACAAACGTATACACAGACACCGTGTATCCATTCCTGAGACAAGGCAGTCTGCTGCAAAACAGAAGTTCTGCAGAGCATGAGAACAGATACAGATTTAAAAGGAAGAGCAGCAAAGAGAAGGAAAACAACCATGGATTACAGTAAGGCACACATCACAGTATTGTTTTATGTTAAAAAAATCTGAGGCTTTAATGTCACTTTAAACACTTGAGTTTAGTGTCACTTTAAAGTGTATTGGGTTTTTATATGATTGTAGTCATGCATTATTCTTCTGGCCAACAATTGTTTACTCAAGGTATGTAAAGCCAAAGTTTTTTTTTTTCCTCGTTTTTTTTTTTTTTTAAAGGGAAGGTTTAAAACCCTATTTCAGGTTATTGTATACTGCCTGTGTACTGCTGGAAAATTATCCTTCACCAATGGTCCTTTTAGACACAACAGGAACTTAGAGGAAATCTATCCAAAGTAAATAGAGTTCTCTTCTTTGAGAACTCTCATAGGAACATGCGTCCTCAATGGAAAATTTCCCCTTACCTCTTGCTCTGGTGACAAATGTAGAGAAGAGAAAAGACAAAAGAGAACTAAAGCCAAAAAAAGGTTTGGCTATCATTCCCTTTTAGTTAGAATAAACATAATTTCCTGCTGCCCCTCCTTTACATTACATAGAGGGGAGCAGGAATTTTTTAAGCAAGTAAAAAAAACACCTACAAATTTAAATTGACTGCAAAAGAGAAATACACCTCAACCTGAGTAGCTCAATTAATTATTCTTAAAACAAAACTTTATACTAAATTATATGCCACCCACATCTAAAAGCAGGTCTTTTCAGTGGCCTACTTGCAGTCCTAACTCTTATATGTGCAGTAAATATCACATTTATCTAAGAAAAGAGCACTGTTCTCTGCCCTCCCACACCTCCTGTGCCTCCCTATTGGTCACAGACATTGCTGGGCCAATGTGATGTGACAGGTTATGGGTCTAGGTACTAACTGTTTGTTGCAGCTCCCTGCAGATTACTTTTATACCAATTTAGGTGCATAGTAACATATATGTAGACATTTAGGTGAATAGGTGCATAGTAACATATACAGTATGTAGACATGCAGCTACACATACTGTACATATAGATGTGTTAATCCCCTACTTCTTTAGCCATTCTCTTACTGTACCAGTAAACTCCAGAGTACCAGTATATATGTGTACAGAATTTGTCAATAAAGGCACTTGAAGTCTTTGTAGACTAACTTGGTCTAATAAAAGCTGCCACAGATAGCACAGCAATTAACATTTTGGGTGGTGCCACATTTGAAACAACAATATATATTGCTTTCTACCCTTTTAGCACCAGATTATGATCATTCATGGTTAAGTTTTCACACTGCTGCCCGTCTTGTGAACTTGCCGCCAGAACATTTTAATTGAAGGAAGCATGAGACAGTACACGCACACATATTTTTCCTTCTGTTAGGAATGTACTGTATTCAGTCTCCCTGAGCATCTACGAAAACAGGAAATAGAAAACAATCATGATGTGTGCATTACTCTCTGCAAATAACTGTCTTGCACATGGCATGTGATTTGATGAGATATTTGCTGGAATACAAGCCTTGGTGTTGAGAAACAGTAGGATTAAATACACTATGCTCAGTTGAAGATGCACATCATGATATTACAGAGAACATAAACCATTCCGTGATGTGCTGCAACAGGGCATATAAACTATACAGCTATAATGCCATTGCTATTGCTGTTCTGCACTATTATTAATATATATACATATATATA